TGGGCACCGGGTGGGACGTGTTCGCGCTCCTCTGCGCAGCGATGCTCGTAACCCAGGCGTTCCCCCAGACAAACATAAAGATCAGCCAAGGTGAGTGCAAAGCGGTGATTGCGGCTGGGCTGAGGGTAACCTCAAACTGGGGTGGCTTTAGCAGGGAGGGGGGAGCGTGTACCTCCTGCAGGCTCAGCACCGGCGTTGCCCTTTCTCTGGCTGCTTTGGAAAGCACTGGCTTTCCTTGAAATTAGTTTTCTTCTTCACTGGGGGTCATTTCCAGAGTAGCTCCAGTCTCTCTCTCCCAGGATATGGAAGCTGTCTCTGGGCTGGCTTCGTTTCTGTGTGCAAGAGGCTGTGCGTTCCCCTTTAGCGACACATGTGTATGTGACACGGGCCATGGACCTTCAGTTGTCCCAACTGTGGGTCCAGCATGGACCATGTGGAGAGAAACAACTGCACAGAGGCACGCGTGTGAGTAGTGCGGGGCTGCAGCCACACAGCGTGGCAGGACGGGCTTGGGGAGGGGTATCATGGCTTCCCTTTTATTTATTCACACTTAACATATGTGAAAAGTGGCCAAAAATATGTGATTCTCCCTTATTCCCCCTTCTTTGTTTTCTGAGCTGTTAGTGACGGTGACTGCTATATGTCACTTATGTTTCTTGCAAACTTTTTCAAGGGGCTGATGCAAGTGAGAGTAGCTGCTCCACGTTTGTTCATGCTCTGTTAGATGTCTATGGGAATGTGAGCAGAAAGGGACTCCTTAGGCGCTGTTGGGTTTGTGAGAAAAAGGATCGATACAAGCCTGGCTTTCCTACCAGACGCCTAATCCGCTGGAGCTTTGCCAAAACTAATTAAGGAGGAAAAAAACTCTGCAAGATAACTCCTATCTCTTAGTGCCGGCTGCGGGAGGGCTGCTGACATGGCTTCTGCCGTAGTCTCATGGCTCCAAACATACCTGGCAGAAGATTTGAAGCTGGTAAACCAGCTTGGTTTCATTACAGGATCTTAAAAAGCAAAGCCCTCTGTGTGAAGGGATGTTGCTTCCAATGTGCTTCAACTGATGTTTAGTCTTTCACTTGGAAATCTGTAATGTGCACCTTAAAAAATACTTCAGAGTGTGTAAAATATTACCCAGTTATTAAATGAGCTTCATGTCCATCAGTGGATACTATCCCCTCCAGCTCCTTACATCCTCCAGACAGATGGAGACCAAAAACCCTCCCCTGACCTTGCTCAAACCAGGACAAGGTGGTCCCTAAGCGTGAGACACTTAAATCTGTTAATGAGAGACCAGTTTTGCAAATAACATGACGATGAGATTGTTTGTCCATAGTGACCATGGTGTCAGGATTAAGGACATTCTCCTGAAGCCGGGATTCTCCTAAAGCCTCAGCTGGGATGCTGAGGCATCCCAGCATCACACAATAGCACTGTCTTAGCCTCTGCCCAGTACTCCTGCCCCCCAAACCCATCTTAATGGTTATTCTTTGGGGACTGCTCTCCATTGCTTGCTCTTGGCAGCACAGCCCTTGGGTGCCAGGGGAGTGGCTCTGTGGGCAGCTCTGCAGGGAAGGACCCTGCCTTCCACTTGACAGGGATCTCATCAGCTCTTCTCTGTTGGCATTAACTTCAGACAAGCCTCTTGGGTGCTGATGGACGCCCTCCAAACCCAGCCAATTGCCAAGTGCTGAAGAGGTTCACTTGCTTTGTCAGGTCAGATGGCAGCATTAGCTTATGGATGTGCCAAGGGGGGTGACTGTGCCTTCCTGTGAGGTGTTTCCTGACATCTCTAAGCTTTTTTGTAAGCTGTCAGCTGTTGATGAATTGGAGCTCTTCAATGCTCTGCATCTTCTGCCAGCACTGACCTGATCCAATCTGCTGTCCAAAACGCTTTGATGGAGCTGCAGCCCCCAGGATGCATGGGCATCTCTTGCCAATCTTATCTTATAGCCCCAAACTTCATATCTCAAATCTGTGGGTTGCTGGAAGTAAGGCAGCATTGCACTTTGGGATGGCTCAGAAAAAAAAGCTGCTCTTCACCAGCTGAGTCAGTGAGAGTCACACAGTTGGTATTTTATCTTCTTCAGTAGCATCCTGAATAAAAAAAATGAAAAAAGGGGGAACTGACTGGGATTTTCTCAGTTAATTATTTCCCATTGGAAAGTGGCCACTTGGGGAAGCGAAGATTTTTGGCAGAGTAGTGCCAGCTTCTGCAAGATTTTGACAAGTGATTTTCCTGGTGGTTCTGTAGTGGGGCTTAGCTAGTATATAAATAAAAAGGCTCCAGTTTTGTCAGCACTGACACAAGAGCACAAAAGACTTTTTGTTACCTAAAAATCATTGGTTTACAGCTTCTCTGAGTTAGTAACAGCTGCCTGATATGAACCTTATCCTCAATCAAGTCAGGACATCTATGTTTGCTGGTGCTATGTTAAGAATGGGCCTGACTTTAAACCATTACACTGTAAATAAGCAAAGGGAGGAAGTACACTTGCCATGGTTTTTCACCAGGAAGTTGGGGCCAAATGGATGAACTGATGGGCTGGCAGGAGCCCCGGTCCCGCAGACAGTGGCTGTGCTGCTCCTTCCCTCTGTGGAGGAGCTGATGCTGTTGGGGGTGATGTTTTGCTGGGGTGCTTGAAAGTAAGGATCTGATCTAAATAACTCCAAAATGCTTCCCCTGTCCCCTTTTAGATAAAAATTTCATCAGTAGCTCTTGGCTTGGGTTACGAGGTTTTTGCTGCAGAGCCATGAGTGGGTTCCTGTACTTACAACCACAAATCCTATTTTTTATGGCCTTTCTGCTAAACATAGCCCATGAAGCCCCCAGATAAAGCAGCACCCCTAATTGTTCCTGCCTGTAAAACTGGGAGCAATAGTTCTACAAAGAGAAAGCCAAAGCCTCTGATCCTGACCTAAGAGAAAAGATGCTAATTAAACGCTGACCTCCCATATTTTCCTTTTCGATATATTTAACCTTAAATTCCTTCAGGCACCTCTGGTTCACTGAAGCTCGTCAAATTAATTCTACCTAATGGGAAGCAGTATGCAATAACAAAGAAGGACTGTCTCCCTCCCTGACTCGGTTTTGGCTGCTCTGAACAAAACAAAAGTGATTTTCCCAGGCGACCAGGGTGCTGACGGACCCAGCTTGGAGCCAGGGCACCGGGACGCCCATTGCAATTAGCACTTGGGAGCGAAGTCCCCCGTTTGCTGGGGATGATGCTGTGTTAAGCCCTGTGAATTTTGCCACCATACTGCTAGAGGTGAAGAGTTTGTCAAGGCACTTCACAGCCTCTATAATAAACCCCAGGGTGCTGGGGGAGCTGGCAGTGCCTGCCTGCTGCAGACCCCCAGGGTGCCCCTGGCAGGAGGGAGCAGTGATCTCGAGATGCCACAAGCTGGGACTGGATCCCAGCTCTGTCCTGAATGGGGAGCACATGCCTCATCCCCGGCTTGTTGGTGAAGCTGAAGCCTCATGCTGTGGCTTTGATCCTCTGCTCTTTCTCTGCTTTGCTTTTTTTTTTTTGCCTTTTTTTTTTTTTTTCCTGCTTTGCATCTGCTCTTGGAGTTCCTGGAGTTCTTGGACTCTTGGAGTCCTTCCACCCTATTGCTGCAACAGAGAAATTTGCATTTCCTGGGGCTGTTCTAAGGTTTTTCACAATGCAAGGATGGCCAGGTGCAAATCAGAGAGCTGAACCCTGTGTTGCCGATGAGCTGGCTGCAGCTTGGCCACACTCCCCTAAAGATATTCTGCTCATTTTCACCCCAGCATGCCTTATCTGTTTTCCTCTGCAGCCCATAACTAGTGCAAATCAGGATGGGAGAGCCCCTCCAGCCCCTTGCTATTCTTGTGGGTTTGTTGAGATGGGTGCAGAGCTGCTCCAGAGCTGTGGCCATGGGGTCCCGGGGTGGGGGACCTTGGTCAGGGAGAAAAAAAGGCCCTTCACATTTGTGGTTTGTCGCCTGGGAAGGGGATGTGACAGGAGGGACCTTGGGGGCTGACTGGTGGCTCTTTGTAAGACACTCAGAGAGCCTCATGTGGAAAGAGCTGATGAAATATGAAATTATCACCCTGAGCTGCCAGCGCTGGCGTGAGGAAGAGTTTGATTCCATGAATGCTCCCACAGCTGCTTGTTGGCTTGTCCCCACGCCAACGCTGCCCCCTTTGCTCTCGCATCCCACGCTGCTGCTGCCAGGGCGCTGCTCTCCCCACTCTAAGTGAAAGCCGGTCCCCCCAGCCCCTTAGTACCGGAGGCCCCTTGGCATCACCCTGACCTCTCTGGGCTTGAGCCTGTTACCTGCTTGGATAGTCTTGTGACATC